TGGCGTGGGCACGGCGTGGCGGTGGTGGTGCCCCGCAGGAACGTGGGCTCTGTGCTGGAGCATCCCTCCCGCGGGGACCGCAGCCCCGTGGGTCTGCGATCTGCAGCGCATGTGGAAGGCCCCTGGGGTGGTGTTCCCTGCTCCCAGATCATGGTCAGAGAAGGGCATTTCACGCTTTCATTAATTATGTGCTTCATTCAAATGACCCTCCTTATTTATCCCGTGTCCGTGCTTGTTATCCCAGGCGGATGGCAGCTCTTCATGGATAACTTGGCAAAAGCAAGCGTGTCCTAAGCAGCCCAGCACGAAGCCGACAAACATGGGTATCAACGACTGCTGCTATTTCTGGCTGTGTTACTGCACTCTGAGAGCTTTTGCTTGTGTACTTTCTTGGTCTCCAGCCTGTGGGTGGTGGCAGGGTACCAGCCCCTGAGGGCTGTTAAAGTGCCCACCAAACCAGTGGTCACCAAAGTTTTGCCCTCCTCCCCAGGAAATTCCCCAGCCTGTAGGAAAGGGTCTGAGGGGGTAAGTCACCCAAGTCAGTTTTAATGAAAGCCCATCTTTGCTCTTTGACAGCATTGTGGGGCAGAGTGAGCCTCTGAGGCGAACTCAGGGTGGATGGTGTAGCTGCCTCTCTGGACTCTTATCTTCTGGAAGAGGCTCGTGTCCCACCTAGGACAGCAGATAAAATTATCAGCCATGGGAGGATGAAATTCCAGTGAGGACAAAGAGTAGAAAACCTGTTTCTGGCTGCCAGCATTGCGCAGAGGTGAGCAGTGGAGATGCAGCTGACCCTGTCCACTTCGGTGTGTGTGTCTTTGGGCACTGAGGCCAAAGTAAAGCCCAGACAGGAGAGCTGAAGCTCCCTAGCATTGCCATCTCAGCGAGATGCTTCCAGTGGGTCTCCAACCCTGCAAACACTCTCTCTTGCACTGTCATTTTCCTAAAATCTTCATTCCCAGAGCCATGCCAGACCAGGAAAATCTGCCTGTTTCTCAGCAGAGAAAACCTTGAGAAACATTTTGCAAGGCCCAAGCACAGGGATATCTATTGGGAGCACAGTGCTCCCTGTTTGTTCTCATTGTTGTTTGGTTTTAGTTCCTGGACTCAGGAATTTAAAGCCAATCATGTGGTGTATCACTGGAACAGGGTGCCCAGAGGGGTAGTGGAAGCCCCTGGAGACACTGAAGGTCAGGCTTGATGGGACTCTGAGCAACCTGACCCAGTTAGAGATGTCCCTGCTTATTGTAGGGGGTTGGACTGGATGGCCTTTAGAGGTCCCTTCCAACCCAATACATTCTATTATTCTATGGTTCTATGGTTTTCTGCAAAGCCTGATGCCTAGTTTTGGCCCATGGGGGACTGATGCAGTAGCAGAGTGATGACTAAGCTGGTTGAACAGCCTCTCCTCTCCCCTTGCTACTTTCCCAAGGCTGAAAAAAAGCTGCCTTAGCAATGGAGACATCCTATAGGTAAACAAGTGGGGATTAAAAGGTGCTGCCAGACCTGCAGTGGGTGAAGGACAGGGCTGATTACTGCCTAACGAACAGCATGTTCAGGGAACAGGTTCTTGGATAAGAAAAGCAAACGGTGACAGCAGAAAATACAAGAGCAGCACAAGAAACACTGATGTAGCCCCAAAATCTGGGAGATGCTAAGCTACACACAGCTGGGCTCAGGGCTCCCAGCAAGATTTCAGGTACTGTACGGTCCCAAGGACCGCTGGATGAGACTGAGCATAGAAACACCTGTCCTGGGAGTAAATTTGCCAGCTGCTTCTCCACGGGTAGCAACAATACGCTCCACAGCCCAGCATCACAACTGTGTCCTGCCCTCTCTGGTCATGTCCACTTAGCCTGTGAGATGGAGGTGCAGCAGCTGCATTGCTGCTCGCATGGGTACTGGGATGGAACCTGCTACCCCTTGGGGTCTGCAGTCTGCACCATCATCCCCAGAAAAACCCTATGAGATATTCACATGAAACCCTGATGAAAAGAGAGCTAGTGTCTGGCTGGCATTAGGAAAAAATAATAGGCTTTTCCCCTGTGGCAACCAGTTTCTAGCACTTCCCCCCTTCCCCCAAACCTGTCTGCACCTAGGGCTCGTGTATGGGGACGATGACTGGAGGTGATCTGTAGATGTAGAGAGCGTTGCTCTGGGGCTGTAACTGCAGCACGGGGTATTCCTGCAAAAGACAGAGGATGCAGAGTAAGCAGTGGCCCCGATGACAATGGAGGTCATGTCCAGCACAGCCCAGTCCATCCCAACCTTACAGCCCTCTCTTCCGGTTCATGGAGATGCCTTCTGATGGCAGAGGCCCCATCAACATAGTAGTCAATCCCTCGCAGGCAGTAGTGGCATCCAGAGCAGGAGCTGTAGTAGCCCTGGAAGGGTCCCCTCCCTGTCACAGTGCACATGGGCAGCCTGTGCGGCATGTTGGCGACTGCCTCTCTCTCTGCAAGGGGAGGGATGGCAAGGGTAAGGCTTAGGAGGAGCAGCCAGCCCTGTCACCCAGATGGATGCCAGCATGGTATGGGTACAGCTACAGCCAGAGTACAGGGACAGGGCGAGGGTGGTTACCAGATTGATTGAGGCAGGTGGGTTTTGGGGGATGTGGCACAGGTATGCTGTGCAGGTAGGTCTCCATCCTTGTGTCCTGCAAGGATTGATGGCAGCCCCTGCAGTGTTGCCACCCTTTTGCGGCAGAGCCCAAGGTGCCAGTGGCACCTGAGGCAGCTCCAGTTGGAGGGGGTAGGGGGGCTGGACTTTACCTTGGCCAGGAGGGGGAGGTAAGAGGAGTGCTCATACCAGGCTTCACTGTTGTAGGGAACTGTTCTCCAGGCGTTGTATTTGTCTTTGTGGACAAAAACTGGGTTGTATTTCTCTGCAAAACAAATGCAACTGGCAGGGGTGTCCTGTGGTGCTGAGGACGTGGGGGGACAGCTAGAGAGTCCCGACTGTTCCCCCTCTCCCCCAAACGCAATGCCATGGGGCCATGGAGTATGTCAGAGGTGCTGCTCCTGGGGTCCTTGTGATGGAGGTGACACCCACTGCTTCCAGCTCATTGGTCACTTGTCCCTGCCTACACAGCCTTGGTACCTGGGGACTATGGGGTATCAAGAGGGTGTCCCCCAGGCAGCACCAACCACTAGGGGGTATTGAGGGGCCACCGGGGCAGAGAACCCTGGGGACCTATCGACATCCCTGGGACAGGGACAGTCTCAGCACAGGGATGGGGACAGGTGGCTGGGGCAAAGCCACAAGTGCAGATTCTGAGGGAGGGGCCCTTCACCACTGAGGGGAGGACACAGGATGCAAAAGCGGGGATGAACAGAGCTGCTGCCAGCACCCTCAGCCCCCCAACCCCATGGGGATGTGCCCTGTGTGGCACAGAGGGACCGCTGGGACCTCAGCAGTACCTTCAGACCTGGCCAGCCAGTACTTCTCGGGCCAGTAGGCAGCAGGGTCGATGGTGTTCCTGTAGTATTCCTGCGTTGACACCTTAATCAGATGCTCGGGCTGACCTTGGCTTGCTGGATTTTGTACTGGGGGCATCGTTAATCCCTACAGACAGCGGGGAGAAATCCAGGCCATGTGCCAGCGTCTGCCTTCGCAGCCGTCGGGGCACACGATGAAGCTGATTACCAGGCAGGGTCTAACACTGGAGACAAAGCTGGAGATCTCAGCACCTAGCTTCTCTTCGCAGTGGGAGGGCATGGGGATTGTAGCAGCACTGTGATCCCCACCCGAAGCTTTCCACTCACCCGAAACTGGGGTATGGAGGGTGGCTGGGTGTCACTGGCTCCTCTCCCCATGCACCCAGAGTGTCCATAGGCATCCAGGCACTTTTCGTAGTGGGAGATGGGGTGGGTGCACTGGGACTGCCAGATGTGGGGCCAGCAGAGGTTGGGGAGGGAGTTACAGGACCAAACCAATGTTCTATAGCTGGCAAATCCCGAGAGCTGGGATCTAGCAGGCCATTTCTGTCCCTGCACAGTGGTGACATCCCTCTCCATGCCCTCTGCTGGCTCCCTTATTACAATGCACAAGCTAACGAGACTGCAAGAGATGAGCCAGTTTGCAGTGTGCTTTGCATCCAAGTCTGCACGCTTGTTAGCCTGTGTGGGGAAAGCTGCGTGTCCTACAGACACCCCTCACAGTGAGGCCACAGCTCAGGGATCCCTCCTCATCCAGGACAAGGGCTGGGAGGGGAGTTTTTGGTGCTCAGGTCTCCCTCCAGCCCTTCACATGATCCCCTTGACATGGAAGGCTCCTAAGTCAGAACTGAGCTGAGCCTGGGGGCTGTGTGTTTGAGCAGCTCTCGGAGCCACCCAATCTGCATCCCCATCATGACTGTGTCACGCAACAGCCCTGGGCTAAGCCCCGCCACTGCCTCGGTTTCCCCTTCCTCAGCAGATCCTGCCCGCCCCGCCCCCCAGGCCTGCACACTCTGAAACCTACTGATGGACAGGGCTGATGTGTGAGAACTTGGTGACCACCAGCCCTGATAGCCCAAAGCCACTGTGGGGTGCAGCTCCAGGGGACAAGGAGCCAGTAAGCACAGGCCATGGGGTGTCAAACTCTTTCCTAACCAGGGAGCATGACTGACCCCATTACACACATGCAGCAAGGCTCCCTGTGAGTCCCCATGCCACCCCCCTGCCCGGCACCAAGCATCCACAGCTGGGTAGGGTTGGGGTAGAAACCCTGAGGTTTCCTCTTCCTGCGGCATTTACCTGAGTCACAAACTTGTTTTCTTTCCAGGGCTGCAGTGGAGCCGGAGTTCGGGTGGTCTTTTTGACAGAGCATGGCGGGCGGTAGGAGTCGGTGTAAGTGCTGATGGGGGTCTTGTATTTTTTGGAGAAGAGGAACATGGTGCAGCAGCCTGCTGGGACAGGAGCTGTTGGCTCCCAAGGATGCTCCACTGGATGACCAGCACTGCATGGGGCGGGGGAATGGGTCTGGCGCCACTGCTCTGCCAGCCCAGGGTGATACTTAAGCCGTCTGTGATGTCATAAAGAGGGAACAGAGGGCATAATGGCTTTCTGTCAGTCCCATAGCTACCCTCTGGTTCTAGCCTAGGACACAGCCACTACTGCCTGCATCCTCCACGGGCTGCACCCTCCTGGCTTTATCCTGGCTCCTGGCTTCCTCCCCTCCTGCAGGCACTTACCCTAACAATGGTAGGAAACAGTTTCAGCTCGTCCTAGTGAAGATAATTTTTCTTTGGGAGGTGCAGAAGCAGTGACTGTGGCTTTTTCAGTTCCTCTTTCCCATATTTCCTTGGAAAACCTGCAGCAACCCAGCTGCGTGCACATAGCACCACTCCGGTGCAGCCAATGCCCAGGGCACAGCACCAGGCACCACTGTCCCAGCCTGCTGGGGTAGCCAGGGGAATTATCGCCTGCTCTGTCTCCCTTTTTTAATCAAAAAGCTGGATTTAGGTGATCCTGTGTGGCTTGTTTGCTCTTCTGTCCTGAGTGATAGGCTCTGCCGTCAGAGTGAGCGATCCTCATCCATCTCAGTGCAGAGAGGCAGCTGGGTTACGCCAGGGAGAGATCTGCATGAACTGGGTTTTCTTGTCCCCGAGACAGGGAGTTGAGCAGAAATCCCTGCCCCTGCAGAAACCCCGCTCTGGCCTGGCTTGTCACACAGTGCCAACTCAGAGTCTTGCTCTGTTCCTGGCTCTGGCTCCTTTGCTGCCACATTTTTGGAGGTGACCAGTGAAGACCCACGTCCATCTTGGCAGGGTGGATGCCAACCCGCCCCCCCTGAAGGGCTGCAGAGCCCCGCTCTCTTTGCTGCTGGGGACGGTGGGGCTGGGCAGCCTGGGGCACCCAAAGGCCTCCAGGCAGATGTGTTAATGTGCCATTAGAGATGAAATGAGGACGAACCGCTGCTGAGACAAGCTTAGGCTCTCTATCAGCCCCGTCCCCTCCTGGGAGCCAGTGGGAGGCCTGTGGGAGAAGGGTGGACATGGGGGTGCCTACCCCCTGCCCCAGCTCCGTGGCCTTGGAGCACCCCAGCACACAGATCTGGGGAGCACTGCTCTGCAGAGAGCCGCGGTCCAAGCCTTTTGGTTGCAGGGGGACTAATCCTGCAGCAGACCGGCTGCCAGCATGAGCCACCAGCACCCCCTGATTTCAGTACCTGTGATTGTTGGGGTTTCAGAGGAGACGGTGCAGTTCGTACCCTCTCACCCCAGTCCACTCCAATGAGAAAGGCTGGCAGGCTGGTTTTCATACGTATGCTTTTTAATATCATTAATTTTGTTACACTACACACAACCAGTAACAATGATAAATACTGCAATGGAAATGTTAAAAAAAATATTATACATGTTTCATGTTTTTGAAAAAAACCCCACATTTTTAAATAAATTAATGCATAAAACTGATGGTAGAAAAAAGAAAACCCAAAACAAACCACAACACAACTGATCTGTTTAAGGCAATACTCTACGCAGACGGGAACAGAAGTACAACAGTGTGCTACATGTTCTGAACGGGAAAAAAAGAAAGAAAAGAAAACCCATACAAGATGCAGATTGATGTTTCGGGAGTGAAAAAACTCCCCAAACCAGATAATAAAACCAATGGCCAAGTTAAGTGCAGCATTAATACACTCTGCATGTCAAATGATTAGCAGGTTCCTAACATGGACTAAGGTCAAACTACAAGAAATTTATCTTCCTAATTAAAAGGTTATTCAGGTCAAACCCTACATTTAACTCTACTTTGCATTTGGCTGTTTCAGCTATGTTTCACTATATGCAAGGACAGCCGGAAATTAATTTCCTGCTCTTGAGATTAATGCAAAGGTTGGGAGGTCTCTCCTCCTGAAAGATATTTCCATTAACTACATCCAAAAAGTATCTTGCTTTTGGTGATCCTGAAATGCCTCCTGCCACCTCCCCTGGCGCGCCAGGCACCGCATGGGGAAAGGAGACCTGGGAAACATTTTCTCGGGTTGAGTTTTTTCCAAGCTGAGGACACAAAATGGAAGTGCAGATTTGATCTGGACTCGGAGGAGTGCTGTTTCCCTGTCTGCCAGAAACGTCTATCTGGAGTGTGCTGAAAGCACTTCGCCAGCACAGGAGAAACCCAGCCTGTATCCAGCCTCTGGATACAGCCGCGACATTTGCTGTTAAGGTTGGTGTGAAGCTCCATACCTGCCCGGACAGCCAATGAACCCCAATTATTAATGCAGCCCAGAACTTGGCCACTGGAAGGTGGACAATAATCATAATGCCAAAAAAATCCCCCTCTCCCTCAAAAAAGAAAAGAAAAGGGACAGTAGCCACTTTCTGCCAGCTTCCCCCCAGTGGATCCCCATCAGCTGCTACCTACGTGAGACTGGCAGCGCCAGATCTCAATCGCATCAACCCAGTACGTTCCCAGTAAGGTGCATGTCTGCAAGGTGCTGCCAGGGGGCAAAGAAGCTTCTTGGGACACGCTCAGAGCCTCCTGTACTGCCCTGCTAGAGTGCTTGTGGAGGAAGCTATGGTACACAAGGAAAGAAAGCCAAGTGGAGTTACTAGACGTGTGATGGCCAACAACTGCCCAGGCTGCCTTGGGTTCGGGTGGGAGAGGGGGATGCAGAACTGGGCTGAGAGTCACTTTGGTGCAACTGCCTCTGATGCTCATCACTAGTGCATGGGATGCAGGGGAGGAAAAGCAATGGCTGCTTTGAGAACAGAGGAGTGGAAGGAGGACATGTGCAATATAACAAGGCTTGAACTTCTAGGACTAACCACTGGACATGGATACCAAAGATTACCTGTGACAACTAGCTATCCTTCTACTGTTGCTGCTCCTTCCCCCACTTCCTGGACTGATTCTTCCTCACTTTGGGAAGTTGTGGCTGTTTGGCATGATGGTCAGCGCTGACTCTCCAACCCCAGTCCCTGCACAGTGTACAGGGTGACTCAGCTACAGGATGCAGAAAGAGGTCTCCAAGTCCAGACAGTCACATGTTAGGAACAGACCAGCTCTGCATGCAGGTAGCACCTGGTTTCAGACCCTTCAGAAAGCTATTTAATAGTGTCTCGTTTGCTTTATTAAACTGAAGGTTCAATAACCTCCGTGGAAGGAGTAAAAATGGTTAAAAATGTGTACAGAGGGAAAAATCCCCACAACTTGAATTTTCTCCCCTGCAAAGACTTCATCCTCTGCACGAGTCTTTCTCCCTGAAGAAGTACAGCCCTACCAGCGTGTCTTACAGTGCCCTGCCCCAGTGTAGCAAGAGCACAGCCAACAGGCACCTCACCCGTGCCTCTGCTGCACATCTCCAGCCCGCACCACGAGCATGTGGGCTGGCCGGCCTGGGTCCCAGACCTGCAGCACAGAGACCAGGGGGGTGAAGGCGGCTGGCTCGGCTTGCTGGATCACACCAAGGTTTTACACTACTCTAGTGAACTCTCAGCCCCACAGCCTTCAGGTGGGTGAAGAGGAATCCCAGCCTGCTCTCTGGCTCACCCACCATCACATTCATTGGACATCCTGCTGGTCTCACGTTTGCCTTGGGTTTGTCTCAGGACAGAGGCAGCTACAAGTCGAACACAGCTGCTATCGCAGCTTTTCTGTGCAAAGAAACTGAGCAAAGAAATCTGTGAGCTGGGGATGGAGACGATGGTGACAAAAAACAGAAGGGCTGTTGTGAAGAGAGCTTGTCCAAGTTTTCCAGCTCTCTTCATGCGTCTGTATTACATCTCCTGACAAACTTTGAATCTCCCAAATCATGCAGGCTCGAGAAAGGTGGGTAACAAATGGAGTCACAGCTTTTTTGGGGTGTGGAAGCAGGAAGACAGCCTGGGTGGAGAGCAGTGCTTCCCGGTGAGCACACCTGGGGCAGCTGGATGGGCAACTATGGGAGAAATGCTGCTCCAGGAAGGTAAACATCTCAGCAAGTAACGGGACTTATCTCAGCATGGCCTTTCAGTGGCCTTTTCTCTTCCTGGTGCCTACTGTGCTGGCTTCCAGTGACACATCTGACTCGGACACATTTTAATAAGGCTTCTTTTGTACCTTCCACTCCCTGATGCAATTCCACTACCTGTATCACCTTTTGTTATGATGGAAATTGCTCCACAGACCAGGCACAACCATCAAGGTGAGCTCTTCCCAGCAGCAAATCCATCTTTTGCAGGAGCAGCTTTTTAAAGAAGGAGAAATGCTCGGAGCCACCACCACTGGCAAATGGGTCTGGGAAGCAATGGGAAGAGCTGCTCTCCACAGGCACCATGGAAAGCTGCAACCTGTCCTGCCAGTGCCCATGCTACTCTGCGACATGGCTTGCTTCATGGCTGTGTAGGCCACGGTGCTCTGCTCCATGTAATCTCAATCAGTCCCCAACCTGTGCCTCCCCAGCAGGCTGTCAAAGCAGTGCTGAGCCAGGCAGCATTTATGCTGTGATCCTGGGATTGCCACCAGTGTTGAGGGGGGACAAAGGAGGGGATGTAGCTGTAATTTTTTGGAAGCAATGCAGCAGCTCAGCTGCATAATATGGGGATTTAAAATATGGATGCCAGCCCCTGTGAGAAACCTCCATTAATCTTCTGTAGGCAATCCCAGGTCACAGCCAATTCCTCTGTGCTGAATTGCTGGCCCCTCTGCTTCAGGGCTTGTGTGGTTCGGTAACAGAGGCGGGTTTGTTTGACAAGATGCAGTTCAAAGTTTGGAGCAATCCCTCTCACAGGAAAGCCTTGAAAGGAAGTGCCAAGGATGCAATGTTCTCCTAGAGGTGAAAGGCACCTTAAAACTCCTACGTCTTCCCCTTAGGCTCAAGCCAGCCCAGCTCACCCTGTGGCACTGCCCATCTATGCAGATGTTTCTTCTGAACATGCAGCCTGTGCTTGCTGAGCCAAGCAATAGCC